TTTGAACCTTTTGAATGTTTTAACTGTGTGTGTTTCACATATTCAAAAAATAATAATTGTTTCAGCTCATCCCAAGGAAGCTTATTAGAAATTCAGTTTCCCATCCCCATCTCCCTGGGATTCTGAGTCAGTAGATCTGGAATGGAATCCAAGAGTGTGCATTTTAATGAACTCCCCAGGGGTTTCTGAAGTGGGTGGATCATTGACCACACTTTGATGGACAGTGATGTGGAGGGAAATCTTGGGCTTTGTGCGTCAGATCCACTACAGAAATTCCAGCCCAGCCACTACCTAGCTATGGGAACTTCAGCCACCTCACTTAGCTTCCTCTTGCTCATCTGTAAAATGAGGATAATAATCCCTACCTCACTGACTGAGAGTAATAAAATCATGTCTGTAAAGCACATTTGGCATAGTAGGTGTTTAGTAAGTATTTTCTAGCTATTTAACTAGAGGGTGCTCTGTGAAATGTATTAAACAGAAGCCAGAGCAGGAAGAGATGAGACCAAGGTTAATAAGCTTGGAAAATAGCCACAACGATAGGAAAAGCTCAGTGCCTGCTATGTATGTGCCAGATGTGTTTGCAACCCCAAGGAAGGAAGCCAACTATTAAAAGTTTAATGATCTGTTTTGACTACTTCAATAAATGGATGATAGGATCTAAGTTACCCGCCAGAGTGAGTGAAGAAGGTGTCACAGAAAGGGCAAGGTTTGGGGGGTGGGGCGCCTGGGTGGCTCAGTCGGTTAAGCATCCGACTTTGGCTCAAGTCATGATCTCACTGTTCATGGGTTCGAGCCCCATATCGGGTTCTATGCTGACAGCTCAGAGCCTGGAGCCTGCTTCAGATTCTGTGTCTCCCTCTCTGCTCCTCCCCCACTCGCCCTCTGTCTCTCAAAAATGAATAAACATTAAATTTTTTTTAAAAAAAGAAAGGTCAAGGCTTGCACTGAGTCAGAGGGGCAGGAAGTGGAAGGGCATTTAAGACAAAGGAATCAGTGTGCACAAAGTCCCAAATCAGGAGAGAAGACCTTGTCTGGGAAATGACAAAGAGCTCAGCATATTTGAAAAAGCTGGAAAGGAGATAAAACAGGGAGCTAAGCTAGATGGGCACCATACAATCAGGAATACCCTATATCGTACAGAAAGTGGGCCTCCTGGGCACTGGAGTCTCCTGGGAGATTTTTTTTACATTTAAAGTGCCAGATTCCACCTAATGGAGAAATGGCTGTCTCCAAGTCTGGGGCAGGAAATATGCGAGATGAGCCTGCCTGAGATATTTTGTCATGCCAGAAAGTAAAGAGGCTAGTCAAGACCACTGTGTGTCAAAAGGACTCAGACACCATCTTTAAAGGGACTCCCACAGGCCAAAGACAGGACAACTTGAGCATCCAAAAGAATAATGATTACAATGGGTCAAAACACCAAATATATAAAGATCCAGAAGTTAGGCCCACAAGTTCCTAAAGTTACAAAAAAAACAAAAACAAAAACAAAAATTTATAGGTTGCTTTTGGTGACCAGCACCAATTCATTTTTCTGAAAACTGAAAATAAAGAGAAAGAATTAAGTCTGTATCCTTCCTTTCTTATACAAACCCTATCTCATAGTAACCAAAGAGTTTATGAGGGAAAAATCTTTATAGACATATTAGCTAATGAATGCAGAAGGAATAATAAAATTAGTGGCGCCTAGGTGGCTCAATCGGTTAAGTGTCCGACTTCAGCTCAGGTCATGATCTCATGGTTCATGGGTTCGAGCCCCACGTTGGGCTCTATGCTGACAGCTCACAGCCTGGAGCCTGCTTTGGATTCTGTGTCTCCCTCTGTCTCTGGCCCTCCTCTGTTCATGCTCTGTCTCTCAAAAATAAATGTTTAAAAAATAAAATAAAATTTAGAAGAAAACATCATCTTTTGGCAACCCCAAATGAAATAATGGATCCAGGCAATGATCATCAAAGCTTCCTAGTGATGGGGTATATGGGCAACTTCATAAAGACTGATCAGGCTGTTGTCAGCTGAATCTACAGATCGAACTCACATCACTGAAAGTGAAACCACAGGATATTATGTGCTTCTGGATATGACGCAGTAGGAAACTCATAGCACCACCTATGAAGTATTTTTACTTCTCCCTCCTTTTCCCTCCAAAAGAAACCTCTAAACCTGAAACTAATCAAGCTTCTAGCTTGATCAATACAAAAGAAATGCAGAGGACAGAGGAACATGCTAAATGACCCAAGGAGTCAATCAGTCAAATTCATAAAATAGGAAAATCTAATCAGCAAAACTAAAGGGCAACCAATGGAATGGGAGAAGATATTTGCAAATGACATATCAGATAAAGGGTTAGTATCCAAAATCTATGAAGAACTTATCAAACTCAACACCCAAAAACCAAATAATCCAGTGAAGAAATGGGAAAAAGACATGAATAGACACTTTTCCAAAGAAGACATCCAGATGGCCAACAGACACATGAAAAAAAAAAAAATGCTCAACATCACTCATCATCAAGGAAATGCAAATTAAAACCATAAAATAAGAAAATCTATATTCAAATGACCTATTCAATAAATACATGGCCTAGGAAAAAAGATGGGAAAAGGAAAATGTTATCAATTTTAAAGACTTAAGAGACATATCAACCAGATGCAGTATGTGAACCTTGTTTGGGTCTTGATTCAAACAAACCAACTGTAAAAAATATATTTCTGGAACAGTTGGGTAATATTGAACAAAGAGTGGGTTTTAAGAAATATTAAGAAATTGTTAATTTTGCTATATGTGTTATAATGGTATTGTGATTTTTTAAAAGGATTTATCTATAGAGATACATTCTGATGTATTTATGAGTGAAATTATATGATATTTGGATTTACTTTAAAATAATACAGTTTTAGGGGCACCTGATTGGCTCAGCCAATT